TTATCAATCATAAAATATTTTCCTGTAGTTTATTTTTTTATAATCTTAATTAAGAGGGTTCTTAAATTGAATTTTTCTCTTAATTTTGACTTATGAGTGCAAGAGTATTAAATAATTTGAATCAACGCACTCTAAAAATGTTTTATCTAGAAAAAAATAAGTATACGTTATTTCTTGAACAAAATCATTGACCTTAATATTTTTTCTATTAAATTATGAATTTCTTTTAAGGTTTTTTTCTCTGAAGTGGTAAAAAGTGAAATTTAAAGACCAAATATTTTTTTGTGTTAAAAGTTTTATAAGGGGGGTATGGGGACAGGAAGGACAAAGGGGGGAAACTTTTCACTTTTCACTTAATATCGATTTTTTTTCCTTCAATATTGAAGACACATTTTTTCGGCGGTTTTTCTTTAAAATATATCTTTTTGCTAAACTTTTCTTATTTTACCCTTTGCTCTCTATTATCTTTGTGTATTTTAGATGCAAGGTGTACTATATAGATCTAGGAAGTATAGAACTCTGTCACAATCAGGAGATATTTAAATACTCTCACATCTTTGAGGTATGCAGAGACTGAAGGGCTTGGAGCTGTAATCAGAGAACAGGCTTTTTTCTATAAAAAACCACATTGTTTGAAAACCCATTCTTTCCAGAACTGGAAATGCTTTCTTCTTGTTAAAAATGACAATGACCGGGAAGTTTTTCTGAGATATTGTATTTTTTCTTATTTAAAGGGAGTGTTCGCGAAAAATGAAAGGAGGTATAGGCTTAATGCGATAAAAAAGCGCTTTTGATCGCTATAACTAATCTTACTTCTATCTGTTGCGTCTATAAGGAGAAAATTTTTCGCGAACACTCCCTTTAAAACGTGGAATAAAACACCTTTTGCGATGCACCCTGACCTTAATTGACGATCTTTTACAAGTATACAGTGGTAGGCGACGCCTAGACTATTCATTTCAATTTCGATTTTTTTAAACTGTTAAATAAACTTTATAATGAATAAGGTGAATAAAAAACGTCATTTGATTTATAGTTATAACGGAAAATCATCGTTTGTAAAGTGGAAGGCATAGAGTCTATGTGAAATGATCATTGGTCAATTATGAAACCAGCCTATTTCATAATTTGGTTTTCTTTTAACAATACTTTTAGATTTTCTATAAAATGATATTCCAGGGCCCAAAAGGTTATATAGCATAAATATGTGAAGTACACCTGCAGTATGGAAACAGTACAACAAAATGGCCGTTTTACACTTTTTTCTAGTAAATTCCCCTCTAATATATATTCTATTCTCTATGCTTCTAATGCTAGCTACAATTCTAAGAACAACTTCTCTGATGACACTTTTGATTAGAGGTCGTCTTATACAATTTGCAAAATGAAACAACATATTCAGAAAAAAATAGTACAATTAAGTCAAACATTGCAGTGCCTGTTAGCTTAAGAAGACGACCTCCAATCAAAAGTGTCACGAAAGAAATTGTTTTTATATTGGATTTTTACTTTAGAAATAATTATCACTGTATAAATTGGAAGCATATTGCTTATTAACAAATTTCCGGAAAAGAATATATATAGGTCAAAACTTGCATAGCCAATAAGCTAATGAAGACGACCTCTAATTAAAAACTATCACAACGGAAATTTTTCTGAGATTTGTTTTTTACAAAAGAGCTGACTATCGCAGTAATTATTTAAAGCAAATTGCTTAATTTTTGCAAATTCATTACTGTATACATAGCTACTACATATATATCATTATCCAGGATAGTAATACTGTATCCATGTTCAGGATATACCTTGTCTAATGGTCCCTGTACATCTAGCTACTATATATCCTGCTGGAGGACCATGTTGGTCTGCTACTGCTATTGATAAACTAAAGGATGCAGTTATAGAACATTATTCCATGTTTAATGTACAGGTATGAATTCTAACTGGTTTATCAAATAAAAATATATTTTGACCAGCAAATTAAAAAATTGTACAACCTTGAACTATTTGTTTAAATAAGAAATGCTTACTGACGGTATAAAGGTGTATACTGTTATTAACACAAATTCGAAATACAAGGAAGACGATTGTACCGACTCAAATGCCGATGACTATTTTCAAGACGTGTGAATCTATTTTCTTTGGTTCGCCCACATGTCACCCTCGCTTCTTCGTCCCCCCCCCACCCCTCTACACATCCCAGCCCCAGCCCCGGCAGTCAGAATGAAACACCGGAGATGATCACAACTCCGTCTCAGGGAGCAACCCTGGCTCCTTCATTGTGATGATGCAGATACCTAGCTATCAACAGACGATGCTTACATCCAGCTCATTATTGTTCCAAGAGTTCCAAAATTATCAGGCGAACATTGAGACGCATTCCCTCATATTCGAAACTGATAAAACCGCGATCTCTTCCCCTCCTTATCCAAAGCCTGGGGTGAGCGGAAACCTGTTGTTCCAGTTCCCGATGATCTGCACCACCATCATGAAGCTCCACAAATATGTTCCAACTGGTGTTAGTCAATAGTTTTCTTTGTTCATTTTTTAACCAACCAATTTTAACCCATTCTTGGGAAACTATTTCAAAACTTTCGTTTTTTAAAATAAATGTTAGAAATATCCATTTGGATCTCTTTATTTTATGATAGTGACTTTTAAAGTCAACAACTGTATATGCTTATTTATAATAAATTGAATTCGATATTGATCGCAATTAATTTTACTTCTGTCTTTTGCGCCTATAAGGAGAAAATGGTTAAAAACATCTTATACCCAAGAGCATAGCATCCATACAAATCTACTGAGTTGCAGTATTCCACTTAAAATCGTAAATATTTCAATTTTCATATTTTAATTTTAGCCTTGTAAACAAAACAGTAAAATTAGAAGTGATTGATATCAAATTGTATGTGACGTCAACCAATACCACTTTTAATTTTTTGGCACACTCCCTTTATTCTGCCTGAACCCTGTACTGTGTACAGGTACTAGACCGGCCTGTATCTGGAAGTGTAGCTGGGGTATCGGTCAGTTCTGTTCCTGTTCAACTTATTCACCGGGATTACAAGCTTGATATCTTTGACAGGGGTTTATATTTTTCAGAACTTCAAAACAAGTCTTATTTAAAAACCAGGGAAGGTTTTTTATTTGGGTTTTCCAACACAAAAAAGATATAACGTTTTTTGGTAATTACCATTAATGACCTTAATGTACTGTGTAACTGGGTTTGGTGTAATAGTTGAAGAGAGATAAGCTTTTTTAATAAATAAAAATGGACAGCTTTAAAAAAGCAGAATTTTTAGTAAAATTTGGAAAATATGATTGATGGCAGTGAAGCTGAGCTGAAAGAGAAAACGTTTAACCTGGCAGAATCACTGGTCTCAGATGGTCTTGCTATACGCTACAGGAACAGTGGGTTAAATTTATTGCAGTGTGCCTAGGATCTGTATTCATCGGATCCACAATACCTTAGCTCCCTAGATCCAGATATCGGATCCACAATACCTTAGCTCTCTAGATCCAGATATCGGATCCACAATACCTCAGCTCGCTAGTTCCAAATCTGCATATTTTTGCTAAAACTAAGAAATTGGTGTGAAATTTGTCTTAGATGAAAGACCTTAAAGAGCTGGTTCCTCATCCATTTTTGGTCATAAAATAAAATAGAACCTTTGCCTAAAATCAGATTTTGTTAAATATTAAAATTGTATTTTCCCTTTTTTTGCTTGGATTTTTTTTTGGTCATTTATCAATTATGTTTGTAAAAATGTTATTAATAAGATAAGATAGCATTTTCTATTAGTTTTATTTTTGAACCCACTTTGCTCTAGTTCCCAAGATAACAACAAATCTAGAGACAATTTTCTGCTCAGGTTACAGAACCTTAGAGAAAAGGAAAAGCAGTACTTTCAGTCTGTACACTACAGGTATATATAGAGTACAGTAGATACTGTACTTTCAGTCTGTACACTACAGGTATATATAGAGTACAGTAGATACTGTACTTTCAGTCTGTACACTACAGGTATATATAGTGTACAGTAGATACTGTACTTTCAGTCTGTACACTACAGGTATATATAGAGTACAGTAGATACTGTACTTTCAGTCTGTACACTACAGGTATATATAGTGTACAGTAGATACTGTACTTTCAGTCTGTACACTACAGGTATATATAGTGTACAGTAGATACTGTACTTTCAGTCTGTACACTACAGGTATATATAGTGTACAGTAGATACTGTACTTTCAGTCTGTATACTACAGGTATATATAGAGTACAGTAGATACTGTACTTTCAGTCTGTACACTACAGGTATATATAGAGTACAGTAGATACTGTACTTTCAGTCTGTAACTACAGGTATATATAGAGTACAGTAGATACTCTGTACACTACAAGTATGTATAGAGTACAGTAGATACTGTACTTTCAGTCTGTACACTACAGGTATATATAAAGTACAGTAGATACTGTACTTTGATGCTGTACATTCACAATGTTGGCTATTAAATTTTGCTTTTAAGAGCTCGCATTTTTTCTTGTAATTGTATAACTCAACATTTTGTGAATTTTTTTGTGAACACTGATCAATTTATAACCTTTTTAGAAATCAACGTTTTTTAAAGGCACATTTATTCAAATTACACGACCCATAAACGTTCCCTGGTGTCAAATGTGTGCCCGGATTGGTTAATAGCCTTTTTTACGTTTGTTAGGTACTAATGTAAACAAGCAAAGTATTGAGTACAGAACTGTTAAACAGTTGATTAATTAATTTCTCCTATTTAGGATGAAAAGCACCACGGTTTCCCTATACAAGGTTCTGGAAAATAATTTTACCTGGAAGGTGAATTATTTTTATCATTATTTTATAACGAAGGAATTTATTCGTTATCTATATTATAAAACAAGACACTGGTATATATGTTCCATATATCCGGCTGGACCAAATGAGCTGAAATTTCTGGAGGGTACCCCGGGACCATTTACATAGGCTAAAAATAATCAATATTTTTTTGCTCCTCAAAATTTAATTTTAAGAAATTCCATTGACAAAAAACCAGTTATTTTAAACTTTATTATTTGGGACATGAACTTTTTAAAAAACTATAGCTTTGTGGAGAAAACGAAAGCATTTTTATGTCTTTTTTATCTTTTCCCTTCAATATTCGTTAAACTTGTTTCTGTAAGCTAAAATTTGTTAGTGCAAAACCTCAAAAAATTATGAATTTGATAATTGCGAAATTGAAATTAGAAAAATTATGATGTGTATTTTTATATTTAAAGAAAGCTTCTCTGCCCCTCAGTTCCGAGTTCAAATGCATCCTGACAGGCTTGAATAAGGTAAGAGTATTTATTTATTGAAAATACGACTTTTTCGAACAAACTTTAACAAAAAAAAATTTTTTTTACTTAATTAATTTTATTGAACAATGCTTCTACTGAGCGAAACAATCTCACAATTTTGAAAAGAAACACATTTAGTTTTTTTAACAACTAATTAAACAAAGAAAATGAATGCACAAATCAAAGAGTCCTTCTCTTTTGTGTCACTAAAGCACATCATTTTTCATGGTTAAACTTTTAAAACAAATCATGGGATTTCATTATTGGCAAACCTAGATATTATTGTATCATTTTTTAATCATAAAGTTTGAGTTTATATCCGATTTTTACCATTGATTTGTTTGTGTTTTGTGTTTTCATGCTTATAGCTTCTATGTCTTGCAATTCTCACCACTTATAATTTTGTCTGGTAAATTCAAAAGAAAGAAAAGATTATTCTTCTGCTTGATTTTTGATAAAATTTTGTTGCCAGGATGGACTTTATCTCCAAAGCTTCGAGGAGCAATCTCATAATATGAGTTCAATCAATAGTGGACTTAATCTAAGGTTAATATGTGCTAAATTTATTAATTATTGTTTTTTGATGTTGTTTATTCCAATCCTCAATTTTTATCAATCATAAAATATTTTCCTGTAGTTTATTTTTTTATAATCTTAATTAAGAGGGTTCTTAAATTGAATTTTTCTCTTAATTTTGACTTATGCATTTATTGGGTGCCTGTACACTAGCATCAAATACGAATCCTTGTTTAAGGTATGGATCATCAATACCACAGAAATATTAAATAATGATCCTTGTTTAAGATATGGATCATCAAAACCACAGAAATATTAAATAATGATCCTTGTTTATGGTATGAATCATCAATACCAGGGAAATATTAAATAATGATCCTTGTTTAAGGTATGGATCATCAATACCACAGAAATATTAAATAATGATCCTTGTTTAAAGTATGAATCATCAATACCACGGAAATATTAAATAATGATCCTTGTTTAAGGTATGGATCATCAATACCAGGGAAATATTAAATAATGATCCTTGTTTAAGGTATGGATCATCAATACCAGGGAAATATTAAATAATGATCCTTGTTTAAGGTATGGATCATCAATACCA